AAACTCTAAACCCTGAACCTGAACCCTAAAACTCTAAACCCTGAACCCTGAACTAAACCCTGAACCGCCAGGCGGTCGCCCAGCTCGCCACGCAAGACGAGAGGCGCGGGCTTCTTTACTGGCCTTCCAACATTCCTCAAGTAGGGAGCAACCTTAAAGTATAGTAGGACCCCGAACCCGGTTTAGGGTTTAGGGTTTAGGGTTTGAATATGATTTATTTGAAGTATAGTAGGACCCCGGATATGATGTATTTAAAGTATCGTAGGACCCCGAATATGATGTATTTAAAGTATAGTAGGACCCCGGATATGATTTACTGTACATCGCTTCTTTAAGGGATGTTGGAAGGTCTGGGACGTTCAATGGCGGAGAAAGGTCATCGGAAAACACGCCGAAGCCTACCACCGCAAAGCAGCAGGATGCGCAACACGGTTTAGGGTTTAGGGCCCCAAGCCCTAAACCCTTAACCCTTAACCCTTAGGGGTTCAGGGTTGAGGGTTGAAGCTGGCGCATGCTGCCAAAGATACTTGTTGACTCCACACCCTCTGTGCCGGAAACCAGGAGATGACTTGGTAAGGGGGTCCCAGAAATGCAAAATCTTGATGAACCCCATTCTAACGGTTTAGGGTTTAGAGGTTTAGGGTTTAGGGCCCATTCTAACTATTAAGACCCCTAGAACAGTGGAACCGTTCTGGTAACCCTTATAAAAACCCTCTGCTACATCCTCAACTCCTAGACGGGCTTAATTGAATTACCAGTTCTAGTTACTACTCTGGGGTTCCTTCTTATATTTTATAGTATAGTGTTACACCCCAACACTCTGTTCTAATTATAAAGGCCCCCAGGCTGCAGGCCAAAAGCCGACGGTTGTTCCTCTACACATTCCTCAACCTCTGCGGTTTGGAGGTTGGGGTTCGTATCGTTTCTTAGTTCTATGAGGTTTTGGGTTTTAGACTCGCGGGCTCCTAAACCCTAAACCCTAAACCCTAAACCCTAAACCCTAAACCCTAAACCCTAAACCCTAAACCCTAAACCCTAAACCGGATTCGCAGGCTGTTTTTTCATGGTTTTCGTGTTCACGGCTTCCGCGCTCAGTCCCAAGGCTCTGAGATCCCGAGCTCCCAGGAAGGGTTGCAGCCCTAATACGGGTGTAGGGTTTAGGGTTTAGGGTTTAGGGTTTAGGGTTTAGGGTTTAGGGTTTAGGGTTTAGGGTTTAGGGTTTAGGGTTTAGGGTAGTTTTCTAAGCTGGGGGGACCCTGATAAGGGGCCCTAACTTAGAGACAAAAATCATAAAGTTCCCCAAGCTTCTCTGAACCCTAAAACCCTAAACTCTAAACCCCTAAAGCCTTAAAGCCCTAAGACCCATAAGGCTAGAAAGTTTTGGAAAGACTACCCACACGAAGGCGGCCAGCGCGAAGCACACCGAGTTCCAGCATTCAGGCGGCTTTGCAGCTGAGGGGTCGCATTTCGAGAGTTTTGGGGCTTTCCGGCATTTGGGTTTAGGGTTTCGGGTTTGGGCTTTTGGGTGCAGAGCTCAGGGCCAAGTTTAGGGTTTAGGGTTTCGGGTTTCGGGTTTGGGCTTTTGGGATCGAGCATTCGATGGATGGTCACGGTGGTTTCGCTATGATTTTCTTTTCGGGCGTCCATAGGAAATTTCAATGATACTTGGTTTGGCTGGCGCCGCTTGGGGATGCCTTTCGCCTGTTTTTTTGTGCGGTGCACGTTCGGTTCAGCACTTGGTAGCCTAGCAGAACGGTCGCCATGGGAAACCTGTGCGAGTGTTGTGGAATCCGGGACAAGGGGCCGACGGGCTTGCCACAGCATGGTAGTGGTGGCAATGCCGGGCATGGGTATGCCTTGGCCATAAATGACAGGGCCACGATGGAGGATGCAGTCGTCATCCAAGAGAATGTAGCCGGATACACGTGCCTTGCCGTCTTAGACGGGCACGGAGGGGACAAGGCAGCCACACTGGCTCAGTCGCAGTTAGCAAGGCAGCTCAATCATCATCTCCACCAGACAAACAACAAGGAGCAGGCCGCGATTGATGCCTTCCATGCAGTGGAAGAGCTCATGCACGAGGAATTGGCCGGCGAGGCCAGTATGTTGCCTTCCGGAACATCATCCGGAACAGTAGCATGCGTCGCACTGTTCCAGGACAAGGAGGTTATGTTGGTGAATTTGGGAGACTGCCGTGCGGTGGTCTGTGAGTCCTCGAAGTTGGCCACCAAGACCAAGGACCACTCCCCAGAGAAGAACGAGATGGAGAAGCAGAGGCTGCACCAGACCGGAGTGGGTGTTGAGTGCGGATACGTTGATGGCAAAGTTCAGGTCTCCCGGGCCTTCGGTGACATCACGGCCGAGACCGGACACAAGATCAAGGGTCTCACGTGCACGCCGGAGGTCACGATCGTCGAGGTAAA